TTTGCTCTTTTAGGAAAAAAGGAAACACTCTTTTAGAGAGAGCGCTGAAGCACCCAGGGGAGCTCGCGGCGAGACCGCAGAATGGAAGCTGCAGCACGACGAAGATGAGCAGCACTGAATGGCAACCCCCGCTGACGCGCCGTAACACCAACGCTAGGCTGTTTCTTTGCAGACACTAGCGGAGATTCGTCCTAGTAGAAGGCTCGCTCCGAAGCAAAAAGCTGATGTGCATTTGCACGCGCTCTCCTTTTATACCCGCACTGCGGGGCAGGGTGCGCGTGGCGAAACACGCTCGCCAACTGTCATTGCTTGTTTAGTTTACACTCGAAGGTGATTGGGCTCTCGGGCGAGATCCCAATTCGTCAGTCACTGACGTAACGTCTCCGTTCCCTCCTTCAGGGAACGAGGGTTACACAAGTAACCTAGACGTTCTGTATGTTGTTTCAGGGTTGGCATCATCTGAGGTCCTCTGAGGGGTTGCATCATCTCTTCTCAGGTGTTCTGGATCCAGACTGAAGCTTGTGTGAATCCTAGTTACCACGGGATGTTAATCCCGTGGCAAAAGACAGAGAAACAAATACAAACATAATTAGCGTAGCTGCTGTTCCAACCAAGCAAAAATGATTTGTTTAACCCAAACTAATGAATAATAATGTGCATTTGATTAGATATAACTGCAGTAAAAGATTATGACTGCAGTAAAAGATTATGAGATGCATTATTTGAATGCTTGGCCAAAGAGATGTGTCTTTAATCTAGATTTAAACAGAGAGAGTGTGTCTGAACCCCGAACGTTATCTGGAAGGCTATTCCAGAGTTTGGGAGCCAAATGCGAAAAAGCTCTACCTCCTTTAGTGGACTTTGCTATCCTAGGTACTACCAAAAGTCCAGAATTTTGTGACCTTAGGGAGCGTGATGGATTGTAGCGTGGTAGAAGACTAGTTAGGTATGCAGGAGCTAACCCATTAAGGGCCTTATAGGCAAGTAATAATATTTTGTAACTGATACGGAACTTAACAGGTAGCCAGTGCAGAGACTGTAAAATTGGGGTAATATGATCATATTTTCTTGACCTGGTAAGGACTCTAGCCGCTGCATTTTGGACTATCTGTAGCTTGTTTATTGAAGATGCAGGACAACCACCTAGCAGTGCATTACAGTAGTCCAGTCTAGAGGTCATGAATGCATGAACTAGCTTTTCTGCATCAGAAACAGGTATCATGTTTCGTAACTTGGCAATGTTTCTAAGATGGAAGAATGCCGTTTTTGTAACATGGGAAATATGGTTTTCAAAAGACAAGTTGCTATCTAATATAACACCCAGATTTTTGACTGTAGAGGAGGTAACCGTGCATCCGTCTAGTTGCAAATTGTAATCCACGAGATTCGTTGTACTGTCTTTTGGTCCAATAAGTAATATCTCTGTCTTATCCGAATTTAATAGGAGAATATTATTGGTCATCCATTCTTTTACATTTTTAACACACTCCGTTAGCTTAGATAATTTAGAAGTTTCATCTGGTCTTGTTGAGATATATAGTTGAGTATCATCGGCATAACAGTGGAAACTAATCCCGTATTTCCTAATAATATTACCAAGTGGCAACATGTATATCGAAAATAGCAGAGGACCTAGGACAGATCCTTGTGGCACTCCATATTTTACTGGTGATATTTGAGATGACTCCCCATTTAAATGAACAATGTGGTAGCGGTCGGACAGGTAGGATCTAAACCATCTTAAAGCCTGCCCTTGGATACCTGTATAGTTTTGTAATCGATCTATGAGTATGTCATGATCTATAGTATCGAATGCAGCACTAAGGTCAAGTAAAACTAGCAATGAGACACAGCCTTGGTCTGACGCAAGAAGTATGTCATTTGTAATTTTAACAAGTGCAGTTTCTGTGCTATGGTGGGGCCTGAAGCCTGACTGAAATTCTTCATAGAGATCATTTTTTTTGCAGGAAGGAGCACAATTGAGCAGACACAACTTTTTCTAAAATTTTAGACATGAAAGGAAGATTTGAGATGGGTCTGTAATTTGCCAGTTCACTAGGATCTAGTTGTGGTTTCTTAATAAGAGGCTTAATGACCGCCAGCTTGAATGTTTTTGGGACGTGACCTAAAGACAACGACGAGTTAATAATATTGAGAAGCGGTTCTTCTGCTACAGGTAACAACTCTTTTAATAATTTAGTGGGTACAGGATCTAATAGGCATGTTGTTGGTTTAGATGCAGTTATAAGTTTATTTAGCTCTTCCTGTCCTATAGCTGTAAAGCACTGCAGTTTATCTTTTGGTGCGATGAATGAAGCTGAAGTATTATACGCTGTAGAATCTACATTTTTTATTGTATTTCTGATGTTATCTATTTTATCAGTGAAGAAATTCATAAAGTCATTACTATTAAACTGTGCGGGAATATTTAGATCGGGTGGCGTCTGGTTATTTGTTAATCTAGCCACTGTGCTAAATAAAACCCTTGGATTGTTTTGGTTATTTTCTATGAGTTTGTGGATATGCTCGGCCCTGGCAGCTTTTAGAGCCTGTCTATAGCTGGACATACTGTTTTTCCACGCAATTCTAAAAACTTCCAAGTTAGTTTTTCTCCATTTGCGCTCAAGACTACGAGTTTTTTTCTTGAGAGAATGGGTATTACTGTTGTACCATGGCGCAGTACGTTTTTCTCTAACCTTTTTCAATTTGATGGGGGCAACAGCTTCTAATGTATTAGAGAAGATAGTGCCCATGTTGCTAGTTATTTCGTCTAGTTCATGTGTACTTATTGGTACACAGAGCAGTTGAGATAAATCAGGCAGGTTATTTGTGAATCTGTCTTTGGTGGCTGGAACAATAGTTCTGCCCGGACGATAACGCGGAGCCATATAGTTAATATTAGTAATACGCAGCATGCACGATACAAGGAAATGGTCAGTAACATCATCGCTTTGAGGTACGATATCTATATCAGTAAGATCAATTCCATGCGATATAATTAAATCTAGCGTATGATTAAAACGATGAGTGGGCCCGGTGACATTTTGCTTTACTCCAAAAGAGTTTATTAGGTCAGTAAACGCAAGTCCTAATGCATCATTTGTATTATCAACGTGAATATTAAAATCTCCGACAATTAGCGCTTTATCAACAGTAATCAATAGGTCTGAGAGGAAATCTGCAAATTCTTTTAGGAAATCTGTATACGGCCCTGGTGGTCTATACACAGTAGCCAGAGCAAGAGATACGATAGATTTCTTTTGCATATCTGACAGTGTAACATTAAGCATTAGTATTTCAAATGAGTTAAACCTGTATCCTGTCTTCTGAGTAACATTGAGAATATCACTATATATTGTTGCAACACCGCCGCCACGGCCAGTCTGACGGGGCTCATGCTTATAATAGTAGCTTGGTGGAGTAGACTCATTTAGACCAATATAATCATTAGGTTTTAGCCAGGTTTCAGTCAAGCAGAGTACATCAAAACTATTATCTGTGATCATTTCATTTACAATAACTGCTTTGGGTGAGAGTGATCTAATGTTTAGGAGCCCAAACTTTAAAAATGTTTTTTGTTCATTTATTTTAAATTGTTCTGGTTTAATCACGATCAGATTTTTTCTAGATCCTGCATTAAATTTATATTTTGACCTCACTATTCGGGGAACAGACACAGTCTTTATAGATTGGACAGCGCAAGTACTTCTATCATTTAAGCGGGTAGAACACAAGTCATCAGGGCAGTTATTTGAGATTTGACTTACTAGTCACATGGAGCGCAGCATCCTGGAGATGTTGTCCGACATGAACACTTGTTTTTCTATTTGAGTAAAAGTACAGGTTCTCTCACAAAACATGATTCCAGTAAAAGTAGAAATACTTGTTTTCTATTTGAGTAAAAGTGCAGATTCTCTAATAAAACATGATTCCAGTAAAAGTAGAAATACGTGTTTTCTGTTTGAGTAAAAGTGCAGATTCTCAAATAAAACATGATTCCAGTAAAAATAGAAACACTTGTTTTCTATTTGAGTAAAAGTGCAGATTCTCTAATAAACTTGATTCCAGTAAAAGTAGAAACACTTGATTTCTATTTGAGTAAAAGTGCATATTCTCTAATAAAACATGATTACAGTAAAAGTAGAAACACTTGATTTCTATTTGAGTAAAAACAGATTCTCAAATAAAAAAAATTTCCAGTAAAAGTAGAAACACTTGATTTCTATTTGAGTAAAAGTACAGATTCTCTAATAAAACATTATTCCAGTAAAAGTAGAAACACTTGTTTTCTATTTGAGTAAAATAACAGATTCTCTAATAAAACATGATTCCAGTAAAAGTAGAAATACTTGTTTTCTATTTGA